CAAGAACGATCCGATTAAGGTCGCCCACTATAATGCAAGGGAGAGGCAGCGACGGTAGTCGGACGGCTGCAGTTGGTCCGAGGAAGGCGAATGCGACGACGGCCTCTATTCACAGCCTTTCTATTCACAGCCTCTATTCACAGCCTTTCTATTCACAGCGAGGACGGCCTCTATTCACAGCCTTTCTATTCACAGCATCTATTCACAGCCTTTCTATTCACAGCGAGGACGGCCTCTATTCACAGCGATACGGCGGCCTCTAGCGTCTCCTCACACCGCGGCGGCCCGGCCCACGAGCAGGTCTTCAGCAAGGAGGGCCTCAAGATCAGCGCCGCCCGAGAGACGACCCTCGGCGCGAGCAGGCCGCTAGCAGGCCTCCGCGACTGCGCTCTGTGGAGCACGGCCGCGCTCCCACACGCTCGAATCTCGGCTGACCTCGGACGCGTCTTGAGCAGGCCGCAACCACGTCTGGCGCACGCACTCGCGGACCGAGGCGGCGGCGCGCGAGGCGGAGGAGATCGCGCGCGGCGCCTTTGAGTCGCGGCACCCCTTCGCGTACCCGAAGGTGACCCTCCGGCCGATGGAGGTGCGCACTTTCCTCGCCACCTTTGCCTGAGGCAGCGCTAGAGGGCGCGCAAAAATCTCTCTCTCTCCCGACCCTGCTCGTTAGCTCGTAAACCGGGCCGCGCTTGAGCACCCCTGCAAGCGCGTTCACATTGGCTGGCCGCTCCCGCTCGCCTCCCCTTAGAGGCTAGCCTTAGGGCTTAGGAAGCCGGGGTGCACACACGTGATTTTTTTATCATCGAGTTTTATGTCCAGAATATTTGTCTATCTCTACTACGTACTAGCAGCGCCAGCGGCACGCGCTGCTCTACGGCCTTAGCTAGCTGACGGCCCCCCGCACCGGCGCCGCCTTCCACGAACGAGCGGCGCTGTCGGTCCGCTTGGACAGCACCTTGCCCGCGAGCAGCACGTAGAGCTCGTGCTGCCGAAAGTTCTGGTGGCCGACCAGCGTGGTGGAGATGGAGGCGGGGCGGGCGATCAGCTCGACGAGCACCTCGGAGCGCGTGTCGAGGATGCCGAGCAGCAGCTTGAGCGAGGCGAGGCACTCCTCCGCCTGCAGGAAGGTTCCAGGAAGGGTCTAGGAGGGGTCTGCGAAAGCGAGCGAGGCGAGGCACTCCTCCGCCTCGACGTGCGTCACGCCCTGCGGCTCGCCGACCTCGTTCTCGGCGACGAAGAAATCCTGCATGAGCCGCAAATCGTGGCTGAAGACAGTGACGTCGTCGAGGGCGTAGTCGCGCACCGAAGACGGATCGAGCAGCACCGCCTACAGGGGGGCTTGCAGGAAAGGTCTAGGAAGGGTCCAGGACTCGGCGGGCGGGTCGAGCAGCAGGCGCCTCGAAGGCGGCGCACGTGGCGCGGAAGACATGGAAGAGCACGCGGCGGCGAGTCCACTCGGTGGGAAGCATCCGGTGGAGCGCGCCTGATGAATCACTGATGAATTACTGATTAACTACTAATTAATTACAGCATCCGGTGGAGCGCGCCTCCGCCCCTCGGCTGATCTCGGGTGATCTCGGGTGATCTCGGCCGATCTCGCCCACGCCACCACCACCACCACCACCACCACCGCCGCCGCCGCCGCCGCCGCCGCCGCCGCCACCACCACCACCGCCGCCGCCGCTAGTCCAGGGGGGGGGGGGCGGCGTGGTGTGCAACGCACCCAGAGTGCCCTCCAGGGTGCGGAGCGGCGCGGAAATGCCCGCGGCATGCGGCGAGGGCGCGTAAAGGCCGAGGAGCAGCGACGCGCGCAGGTCGCCAAACACGACCTTGACGGAGATGTAGTCGCAGACGTGTTCGAAGGCCTCGTCCAGGCAGCTGCGCGCGGCGGCGAAGTGCTCCATCGGCAGCGCACACCTCGCG